TGTTGGATACTGCTGCTATGATGCAAACACTGTAGAGATGTAAGACTCTGACAACCTGCTTTTTGCTCTTACAGCTTGATGTGCTGCACATGTTGCAGCCCCAGCTCAAGTACATGACCTGTGTTATCATTCATCAGAAGGAACCCGGACAGTGCAGCCATAATGCCCTCTATTGAATTCTAAGGCAAAGGGATCCAGTGTTGGTAGATTCTGTGTCCCTTTTGCATCACTGGTTGCAGTTTGAAAGGGTGCCATAACAAGGAAACAGCTGGTGCCAAAGGTATCTATACCCGTTACCATATCAGGTACTAAGAATATGCCACCAGAAGCCCTGACAGAAGTTTTCACATAAGCAGTTGCAAAAACTCCTGCAAAGGAAGGTACTTCTTATCTAAGAAATAAATCTCATAGAATCCAAAGGAAATACTAAGACAACAGTAACTGTCCTTACTCAGAAAGGGTAAGCAAGCATTCTGTGAAACACAATCTTAATTAGTATTCAGGGATAAACACAGCAGAGTCCTACAACAGTGGCAGCAAATCAAAATTTCTATTTAACACTGCATACTGCTCTATCTGCAAACTAGTATGTAATTATAATGTTGCTAGAACAGTCTCACCTTCACATTCAGTTGAGCACCTAAAAAGTTGCAGAACAACACTATTTGATACAGAGAGACAGCCTTTGAGGAATTTTGCTTAATTAAACTGTAGTTGTCACAGACAAAAAAGGTAACATGAATCCTTCACCAAGGAGTAGGGACCTTCACCAACACCCACTGCAGGTGCCCAATGACCCCCACCATGCACAAACAGCCAAGACAATATCCCTTATCTTACCTCAAAAGCAGTACCCTCCCCAGAACAGGCAAGATCAGCACAATAGGACATGTTCTTAACATGCTGTGTGGTGGAATCAGGCTACAGCACTCGCCTTCCTCACCCAGAGAAAATGAGGCTAAAAACAAGGTTACCATCTCCTAAGTCTGAGCAGTCTCAAAGAAAAAGGGCAGTCAAAAAGCAGGCTGCACAGATTGTGATACCTAACCACAGCCTAATCTCCGCCAGTGCCGAGGTGTGTGCAGGTACTCCATACTGCACATTCGATATTCCCAGGGGAGCAACGTGCACAGGAAATCCAGCCTTCCAGGAAACTGGCCACATCGTGGTCCCTCCCCACTGCATGCAGCCTTTCCATGGTGCTGTCCAGAAAGGGTGGGCTCCACTTTCCTGTACAAAACTATGTAACTTCTAGACAAACTACTTTCAGCCATTTAAGCAATAAATTCCAGTCAGAGCTAGTGAACTAAATCCTCTTTCATGAAAGCCAAGGAAAACAGAAGAGAGTCCAAACTCTAAGGAATGATAGGTGTTAAGCTTTCAGGACAAGAGAACTGAATTCCACTCTGAAGAAATATGTCTGCCTAAGAAGAGATCAAGTTTTACTGAAAATATTATATAACCTCTTCTTAACATTATTTCAGAATATGCCTCTTCCACCCCCCATTCTGGAGACACTGATAATCTGCAAGGTCACAGCTCACCTTTGGGCTTCTTTCTTTTCTCAAGTTCCCCTTACATTCCATTGTTAAGGCAGATTAGAAAAGCTGCACTTTAAATTATATCTCATCCTGCTTAACAGCTGTCTGGGAGTACAACATTCAAAACTTCCACCTCCACTACAATAACGGCACTGACATCTGATGGTAAATTTAAGTTCTCATTTCAAAGTTTTCTGGTCTTACATACACACAATCTGTATATAATGCAGATTATGCAGCACAATACACATTATCCTGCTGCAATATCCTACATTGTATAGATTTACATTGTAAATCTCATAGACAGGAAAATAGTACACTACAGTTTTGTCCTCTGTACTGAAGGTATAAGCTGAGGACTTGTGCAGAACAAGTTCTTAAAGCAAGCTTTGAACTCAAAATTACATAGAGGAATAACCATCACTTCATGACAATTTTTCCTCTTCTGCAAGATACCAAAGAATTTAATTCATCTGTCCTCAGATATGATGCACTCAAGTCCCTTCACTTGTGCACATGCAGATATAAAACAAAATCAGCTCACTGTCACTGTCAAGAGCTGAAGTAGCTATATACATACATATATATATATATACTCCCCCCTTTCCTCCTCTCAGCTACCAAGTCAAGTAACTGTTTTCTTTCCCATATGCATGAAGATAAACAATTCTACATGCAGCTTTTCTGATGATGATGGCATTCTATCGCACTCAGAGGAAAAGCTTAGCTAATGGCTTCAGCAACAAAGCTTGGTGCTCCATTAAAGACCAGACCTGAAGTTCACCAGAATTTCAGGATTAATGGTACTTTCCCCTCAGCAATTCCAAATACCTGTGAAAAATACAACAAAGCTTAAGTCTCTTCCTCTAACTGCCATATGCAGCAGGAAAATCAAAGGCTAAATATTAACTATTTAATCATATCACTATTTCAGACATACGCATTTGCTCTCAATAACTGGAAAAAAAATAAATTGATGGAAGACAAGAAAGACACAACCCAAAAAAGTACAGTAATTTTATCTTCACTGAGATAAATTTATTCCTCTGAAGAAGCAATGTCTACATGGGACCTGACAGACAATGAAAAAAAAACCAAACAAAAAAACCAAAAAAAACAAACAAACAAAAAAAGAACCCCAACCAACCAAATAACCACAAAGCAACAGCATGCCATGGCAGTCTTAAACACAACATGGACTTGAACACAATTACCATCTGTCAGTCAAAAATGTCTGGAAGAATGACAAGTTTTTGAAGAGTTTCCTTTGAGAACAGATACAGCTTTAGTCCTGCTGCAGCCAAAATTGATTAAATTAATTCATGTTCCAGACTGCATCATGTGAGATTTGCACCTTTTATATCGCATATTGGAGGAAAATAAGGTCTTGTGTTAATAATGAAGAGAAACCATTCAGAGTCAGTCGCAGGAATTTGTTATATACCTTTTTTTATAGCAACAGGTAACCTTCACTTACTGTACTGCCTCAAGAGGATTATAAATTCACAACTGGTCTTATTTGCTTTCAGTATCATAAAATCAGAAAAGGTCCTTTGGTATCACTAAAGGAGGGGAGGGGGAAGGAGGAGCACGAGCAAGAATTTTAGCAGTGATGTAAATCTTTACCGTTGTTCCCTTAGGGTTTGCCCTTCCAAGCTGACTACAACATAAAAAAAAAAAAAGGGGGGAGAATATGCTCAGAATTATCGCGATGAAATCTTTTTAGTATATAGTATCAAAAACATTTTGAAAATGCCATCTGGGCATCAGAAAGTGAGAGCACCATCTCTAACAACAGAGCGAAAATAAACGTCATTCTTCCCTACCAATGGCTGGAGAACAGCAACTTGCAGACTCAAGGATCTAACCTGTTAAGGTATGGCTTCTCATACAGAGCTCCCTAGAAGCATGAAGCTACCATAACTTGATTAGAGGAGGATAAATACAGAAAACCTTGCAATGAAGTGACAGGCTAGCCTGCAGTCAGGTAACCATGCTGCAGTAACATGCTGACAGGCTTAACCACAATACACACTCATTCTTCCAGTTCAGTTCACAACTGAAAGTAAACCAACACCCTTTACAGGGGAGCAAGTGACAACTCAGACACAGCAAAGAGTCATAGAATTTTATATCCCATGTTCAAGAGGGGATTCTATCCAGTTCTGCAAGGCGGTTTATTTATTTCTAGAGCCTCACATCCTTGAAACACCTATAGAGGATGGAGAAAAATTCACCAGCTAATTTCTTTTAATGTAAGTAGCAACCTCACCTAACCATTTTGGAAAGATTTTTACTTGATCAACCTACAACACATAACCATTAACATTTTTCTTTTAAACTACTGAACAACTTCTAAACTTAAGAACGAGAAGCTAACCTGTCAAAGACATTTTTTGCTTTCCAGATATTCAGTGAATCTAATATTGTGTGGAAGCTTTTGGCCTTCTAGAGAAAAAAACTATTCAGGCAAACCCGCATTATCTCCGATTGCCACAGCCTTTCCTTATTTGGCTAACGTTTTGAGATTCCAATCAGACTGCTATGAAGTTCAACATGCACAAAGCATCCATTTTGAGGAAACTTCACAGCCAGTTTCCCGTCCATTCCCCCCCAGCCCAAGTGAAAGTTATCTCCCTCGGCACCAACCCCCCTCCCAACATACCCACACCAGAACAAAGCGATATAGATTGGGCTTTACTACTTTCCAACGCACGGAAGAAAAATTTAAGATCCCTGGTCCCCTTGAAGTTCAGCTTTCACACTGCGATGGGAGTCATCGGTAATGAAAACAAACAGCCCCTTATTGATACGCGTTTCTATATAATGAACAAAACACTGGTTTCCCCTAGAAACCGGAAAGAAATAGATGATCCGTCTCTCAACACGGCCGCCCGCACACGAGCGGGCTTTAATCGGCTCAACTACTGCGGAACCGGGGAGACGAGGGAAGCAGGGAACTACTACCGGGATCCCGGGCAAGGGCCAGCGGCAGAAGCGGCCCCCTAGGCCAGCCCGCTTCTCTCACCTGCAGTCACCCTCCCACGCCGGGGGGCACCTGCCTCCGGCCCCCTCAGCCCACACGGGGAAGGGCCCGCTCTCCCCAGCCCTCCCAGGGAGGCGCTGCCAAGAGGGGAAAACGAAAGAGGGTCAGCGGCACCTCCTTCCCGCCGGAGGAGAGGCCCATCCGCCCCTTCCGACGACCTGCCCGCGGGGAGGGGGTGCATCCTCCCGCCCCTGCAGCCCCGCCGGCCCGCCGCTCGGCCCGCGGCCCCCGGCCGGTCCCAGGCTGACCCTGTCGCCACCTCCCCGCCCCGACACCCCCCAGCGGAGGGAGCGCAGCCGCCTTCGGCCCCTTCCTCCTCCACCTCCTCCTGCGGGGGGGCCACTGGGCCGGCCTCGCCCCCCCACCCTCCGCACCAGTCCGGCCGGGGGTCCCTCGATCGGCCCAGCACCGACCTGGTGGAGAGCGGTGAGCCCGTCCACATTGGCGTAGTTGATGTCGGCGCCCCGCTCCAGCAGTCGCAGCACCTCCTCGGTGTCTCCGCTGGAACAGGCGGCCAAGAAGACGGCGCCGTCGTCGAACTTCACCTTGGTCTTCTTGCGCTTGACCACGGGCGGCTCCAGGTCGGTCTCGGAGCCGATCCAGCGCTTCAGCTGCTCGTTCCGCTTCTGCTTGGCGTCCGCCATCTTCATGCCCCGCTCGCGCCGGCCCCCTCAGCCCCGGCCGCGCCGAGCGTACACTTTATACCGCCACTATCCCACAGCGCACCGCGGCCGCGCGCGCTCACCCGCCCAGGGAGGGCGCGGGGCGGGCGGGGAGCGGAGAGGCGGGGCGGCCTCGTTAGCATAATCCCGCGAGACTTCCGGGGGGCGAGCAGCGGGGCGGGAGGCGGCGCGCGAGCGGAGCGGGGCGGAGCGGGGCGGGGCCCAGCGGGGAGTGTGAGAGGGGAGTGGGGAGTGTGAGTGTGCGTGTGAGGGGGACTGGGACTGGGACTGGGACTGGGACTGGGAGTGCAGCCCCACTTCTGTCGGGGAGCTTCGCTAAAGGCGCTGCCCGTGCCCGCCTGCGATCTCCGTCACCTGTAGTGACATCGGTGTTTCGGCCTGCATTGTCAAACGGGGCGCATGCAGCCACTTGACGGGGAAAAAGCAAATAAATAAATGGAGCAACTTGAGTGAGGGTCCTTTGTTTTGGGAGGTTAGACATGACCATCTCAGACCACCTTGATGTACAAAAGCACCAAGTCCCATTTGTCTCTACATTTTTAGGGGACCTCCAGGGAAGCTGGAGAGGGACTCCTTGTTAAGAACTGTAGTGATAGAACCAGGACTAATGGGTACAAATTAGACTAGATATTTTTGTAAGAGGTTCTTTATTGTGAGTGTGGTGAGACACTGGAGCAGGTTGCCCAGGGAGGTTGTGAATGCCCCAGTCCTGGCAGTGATCAAAGCCAGTTTGGATAAATCCTTGACCAACCTGGTCTAGTGGGAGGTGCCACTGCCCATAGCACAGGATTGGGATTAGATTATTTTTAAGATCCATTCCAACCCCATAATATTCTATGATTCTATCATTCTACATGGCAGCGGACAAAGCCCTTATTCACTTACATTTCACTTACAGTTCACTTCCATGATGTCAAAACCTGGGGCAGCACAGCCATCATTTCTCTTGAGAGAAAACAAGTAGTTACAAACCATGCAGCATTTGAAGATACGAAGACTAAAATGTTTTTGTTCAGAGTTGCAACTTCTAGGAACCAAGCTATTATAGATAATAAAGTTTTTTCTATGCACAGCATGTTTTCTTTAGCTAAAAGCAATATGTATTTTGCTTTAAATGGAATAATCTCTGGGGATAAAATGTGGTTTTGAACTTACTGGAAAATAAGTTTTATTTTCAAATAATTATAGGAAACAAAGTATAGTTTGAGAGGATCACCAAACCTCATACACTTCAGATTTTACATGATTTGTGCTTTTCTAATTAGAACATTTCCTTCTTATGGTGGGCAGTCTTGCAGCCAATTCAGGCTCTTATTTCCATTTTTATTGATAAAGATGTCAGTGACATTTCACAAGAAGTAGTAGTTGCAAGTACCTGCAGCAACGTGCTTTTCTTAATGTCTTTCAGAACAGATTTTCATCTGGAGATATTTACATAATATCCATCAGACTTACTCATACAGCAGTGCATGAGATACACGCACTGACAGTTTGAAGGCGTAATGTGATTGAGAACAAAAGACAACATCTGGTAGTCAAGATGAAAGATTTGCCACAGAAAGATTTGCAGTCTAAGTAGGTGGATGAAAGATTATCTGGCACCTAATTTATACCTTCCCATTGGCAGCCTGTGTGACTAGCCAGGGGTACATTTTAGATTCCTGGGTTTGAAAATAAGGCTGACTGCAGAGTACAATTCAAACCCAGTCTTTGCAGTGTTTATTACTCACATGAGTGTTCTAACTTGTACTTTGGCATGGCACTGTCACCATCAGCATGGCATGGACAGTTACCAGCTGGGAGCTTGGATGCATCACCCGACTCATGACTAAGGAGGGAATTTGAGCAGGCTCCAGGCTCCTGCTGTGGTCTTGTCCTTGTGGGCAAACTCCCTGGGGGACAGGCTCTCAACCCAGTGGCATTTCCTAAGGACTTGAAAACTATAACCCAGAAAAAGGTAGTGCAAGATATAAGCTGCATTCTCCTGTCCCATATGTCTCAGATATTTTACAAGGCACCTCCTCATTGTGCTGTTTCTCTCTCAGCTGGCTGTCTGAAAATTTGACTCTTCAAGAAATCTCGTATCTGAAGAATGTTTGATTTCAACAAACAATATTTAAATAGAGTGCTTTATTAGCAACAAAGTAATTTTAGGCAAATCAATAGGCACATGTTCAAAATGCACTCTCTCAGGAATCTCAATGTCATGGAGCGTGTTTCTAAGTTTTCATCAGAGCTCTAGTCCCCTCTCCTTGACTTCAGTTTTCCATCTCAGCTTTTTCTTTCTGGTCACAGATCCTCTTTTAACTCCAACTTGCTCTTCTTGGCTTGTTAGTGAAATTCAGAGGTTCTACTGCTCAATTTTGTTCTTAAGTATCATACAGTTAGCTTGATTTAAAAAAACTTTCCTTTTATTCTTCTTTCCAGGAAAGATTTTTCACTGATTCAGCTCCAGCTTTTCAGAGAACTTCAGCAAATATTTTTCCATACACTGCAGCTATTTGTATGTTCCACATTCTTGACATTATTTTCCTTGACTTTTTAGGTTTTTTTGATTGCACCTCATGGTTGGGAGTTATGCTATATTTGAGGGGTTTTGCAGACAGTACAGGCAAGATATAATTCATTTGTACAGTCAGCTGAAACTCAGATATTCCATACATATTGAATATAAATGTCTTTCAGAGATAGCTGTATGCTCTACTGGAAATTATATGTAGTTCTAGCAAAATCTAGCAAAGCATATGGTCTTCCTTAAGCAAAAAGTAGAGCTGTCATTCATGTAAATTAGTTATCTCTGCAAGTGTTCAACTTCAAGAAGGGAATAATAATACAAATAATAATATTTTTTATTTCTAATTTTTTCCTATCTCATATCTCCCATAAATGTCTGCAAATTCAATATCAAAGGCATATTGGGTATATTCTTTACCCTACCATAATGCCATTCTACCTCATTTCTAATGTCATTCCATTTCATTGTAGAATCAAGGCAGCTGAGAGAAGATGAGACTGTCTACAGCTTCTAATTCCATACTAATTGACATAAACAAATGTAAATACCAATAATAACTTCTGTAGAAATATGAAATTCTTTTCCCATTATCTGTCTAAGCATGGAGTGTTAAACTCATTTCTGCAGAGGGTTAGAGCAAACATATATTAAGGCTGTTTCTGAGGACCATATTAAAATTAATTCTAAAAGAGTCGCTACTGCAAAAGAGTATCACAAGAGTGAATTAGATAACTGCATAAGTGTGCATGTGTATTTACAATAATCACAGTAGGCTAACAAGAGATACTTAACCATCTGAGCTACATTATGAGTGCAACTTAAGGGCACACTAAGTTAGACCTAGTTTTATCAGTTTTTTTGGTGCATTGCTACCAGGCTACCCAACACACTAGGTATGCTGTTATATCCTTTGCTTGCATGTATATACACAATACTAAAGGTGATTAAGTATGTAATTTTCCACGTACAAATATTAGCACTGAATTCAGTAGGAGATTCAGTAGGAGTGGTTTTCTGTAGAGGTAACAATGTAACCATCTAACCATGCTTTTCTGTAGAGGTAACCATTTTACAGAGATAGCATCTATGTGTATACATATTTTCCGTGAATTTCACGACAGACTTCAAGTGGTCAATACAATGATTTAGCAATGAGATTGATATCAGTGTGCTTTCTGGTTTTCCATGTTTTCTTAAAATCATTATCTTAAAAGTATTACAAGCATTGTTCAAAGCTATTTCACACAGGCTTCTAGACAGAAGAAGTTCTCAGATGAAGCTTTTGCACTACTCAAAATCATCATCTTTTGGGATGTAGAATTTTCTTCTGACCTCCAACTGGAAAATTGCTGCCTTGTCTCTCATTTTGAACAGCACTACACACAGTGTGGCTTCTAAAAATTTTGTCTTAACATTTTGAAGGAAAACTAATATATATAACAAAGTTAATATCATCAATTCCAGCTCTGGGAAAAAAGGGTAATTTGAAGGATAATGACAAATATTGCATATATATATATTGACACAAAACTTTCTAATAAATGTAACAGATTCTCACAAAGAATTGTGGTTGGTAAAATGAGAGCAAACATAACAAAATATAAAAGTGTCTTTTCACATCAAAACACCATGACAGAGATATTTATCACAAGAATAAGGCATTTCTTTCATTGTTTTATTTGATAGTCATAGTAATTTCTATCTTGAAATCTGGTATATTCTCTACCCTGATTGTGTGACACACTCACACATGTAACAGTGAAATCTCTGGTACAATCCTTATCCAGAAAAAAAGAGGTAAGAGGACTGTGCACAAATTGCTATCAAAATTTTCAAGTAAACTACATTATAAGCAAACTTCTTGCTTTTTAGTCAGTTGTCAGTAAGATTCTTATACAGGAACCCCACATTTCAAGGTGGGTTACTTTTTGATGCTGCATAATCCTGAGTCACCAAAACGAAAACTACCATAGCAACCAGAACACAGATTTATAAACTGTGCAGTTCTGCATAGTTTCATATCCAAACCATTTCATTTGCAACGGTGTTTTCTTCTAGCATCTTCCATGAGCTTTATACAGATTGGTGTCTCTGTATTCCTGAATGGCAATGCAAGCCAACATTTAAACTTGATTCACATGGAGATGCTCTCACATATTTTTATGTATACCCATCTGTTAAACTAACATTTGTTCTATGGACAATTCCAACAGTACATGGATTAAGCTAAAAATAGTTGTCTTTGCTAGTAAAAAGTAACACTATGTTCTTTAGAAATAGGAAAATATACTTATTTATAAATTTGACTTTATAAAATCATTCTTACTTTAAATTAAATTTAATTTTTGTCTAGTCATGTAATGAAAAAAAAAAGAACTGAGCCATATGTTGTGTAACAGAAATATAGGTGCTCTGTTTCTATCCAACGTTTGCAGTCCTGGGAATACTGCATATGTATGGATGCAGACACAGTGTTAGACACTGCAGTGACAGTTGTCCATTTTGTCCTCTTGATATTGAGAACAAGTATCTTTGATTTATTTTACTGTCTTAAAGGCC